CAATTTGGGGGAGGTGCAGCGGAGCGTCTGTGTAGTGGGGGACGTCTGGAGCTGAGGTATTGAATTGCACTCATTGCACTGATTATATGCAGTATTTTTTGATGCAACTTTTCTACTTCTGTTATTTGCCGTTGTTTCTAAAAAAAAAAAAGAAATGCATAACGATATTACAGCTTTCATTGATTTATTTCAAACTTGAAACTTGCTTACTTGCCTGTAAGGTGTTAAAAAAAAAAAAAATTCTTGAGTATCGAAAATAATCGAATCGTTGGGTCAGGAAATCGATACTGAATCGAATCACCATGATGGATGTGATTTACACCCCTAGTTAGCGGTTCAACCCATGTTAACCCGCTAATTTCAGTGGAAATTTTTGTTTTAAATCACTTTACAAAGAGGTCAGAAGGTAGTTTTCTCTTTATAATTTAGTCTAAAACAGTAGAAGGTTGTAAACAAATGAAAATGGACTGATTGGTTGATTTTTATCTGGATCTTATTAGCCACAATCGGCTGCAATCACAGTGATATTAGATCGTTGCATCGTATTGAAATAGAGCAAAAACACGCAGATCTTCACTGAGCGTTGAAAGAAAGATTCGTTGGTTTGGAGGAGAGGTCTCACCAATGAGAGGATCGGTGACGTGCGTCCAATCGATGCAGTCCTGCAGCTCCAGCTGGTAATGTGATTGGATGTAGAGCAGCAGATGTTGGTAGAAACCCACGCCGGCGATGAGGTGAGTTCTGTAAGCACACTCTAGGGCGCTCCGACTGTGGATGTGCTGGAAATACAGAAAAGGATTTAGCCCAAATATGCAAATCTAAAAGAGAACAAATAAAAACTAAAAACAGAAACCTCTATATTAAAACCAAGATAAGAACCTAAATTACTGCAATTGACAGAATATCATCCTCAGTGAGCTACAAACAAGATTTTTCCGAGCCGGTTAGGTTTAGTCAGGAGCTTTCAAGTTTAAACAAACTAGCAAACTAGTGTCATAAAAAAAATGGGAACATCTTAATTTGATCCAGGTCCTTATAAAATCAGGTCAAAATCAGTTCAAAATGTTTAGTCGAATCTCATGAAGTTCTTCTGCTTTAAATGAGTTATTTACTTAAAAAACACAGAAGCCATGATCAGGGCGAACGGTCGTTCAGTTTGAGCTTGGACAGAATCAGTTTAAATAGATTAGCTATTAGCCTGAGGTACCAACTATGTGATGAAAGAGTAAATATAGTGAAGTGCAGCAAAACTTACTCAAGCTTATTAAATATGAGGGTAATCTGTGGAGCTTAAAGGCTGGAAAACAAAATCCGATCTGACAGGAAATCGTGTCGAACGAAGTCATGGTGTTCAGCGATGTTTCACAGTCAATGGGGAGGATCCCACTCGACACGATTTTTCGCAA